ATTCATGCTGGAAGCTATGGTGGTCTACGGAAGCACACTGATGCTATTTCGTGGCTCATCAGGATCCACTACCAGACCACCAACTACCCACTCCATACTACCGTACCTCGAAGACTCCCCCAATGGCCATTGCCACAACCCACCACAAGCCTCCCGACTCATCGCTCCTTGTCGCAGTCAGCCGCCACTACATGTACTATACACTGTGTGGTTCACACACGAATCGGTCTTACATCTAACGGCCTACCCTTCAGCCACCAAATCCTGCGTCATATCTCATAGACCTTGATCTGGATACTAGACCAGGTACCTACCATGTTGCACCCACCCCCACCCCCAACTCTACTACTGTGCGGTACGACTTTCCATGCCAACACAAATACCTCTCCAACAAACACCCTGGCCTCGTCGCCTCTGCAATCGATCGATCGGCAGGCACGCGTCGGCCGCTTTTGCGCCCGAACCTCCTTGCTCTTCTGTCCGTGCAATGAAGCAAAGCAAGTTCTAGTTGGGTACAAAGCATCCCGCTTCAGCATGAGTTTCTGATGGTCTGCAGAGCCAAGATAGATCACGATGAGTCGTTCCCCGACATTCAACCACACAGATAGGTAGAGTAAGACAAGTGAAAAGCAGCGAGTCGTTGCAGCGAGGCTGTGTGAATCTGCTCCTCCTATTCATCTCCGCTCGGCACCGAATCACTTCTTTTGCCGTCTTCCCTGCCAAGTATTCGGCCTTATACCCTCGAGTAGTCTGCCGAATGGTCGCTGCACCTCCGTTGTCAACCAATCAGCCACCGCGACACTTTACAAGGACCCCACAATTGTGGCTGACTTGCGGGCTTGACCCTCATTTTGAACTTGACGATTACCGCCACTTGTGCACCTCAATCTGAACTCCATTTGTGTTCGCAAGTGTAGGACCGTTGATGCGACGAGCCTTATACCCTATGCAGACTGTACACACTAGGCATGCATTTCGTTACAGAGTAGGTGAATACGATAGCGAATAGAACCACCGACGTGTTCGGCATGCGTCGCCGTGCATGCCGAGTTGACATTGAGACACTGCGCCTCAGGTTGTAAAACTGGTTTGGGTAGGTAGGTGTCTGCAGACCAAGATCCCGCCCTGGCGTGTGGGCTCCACCCAAGCCGTACTATTATCACGTGGAATCACGGATAATGCCTGAGGTACTGCCTCCGATCCGATGGCCATCCACCCGTCCGATCTTCTAATTCGAAATGCCACAACTAACACAAAAGACCTGCATTAAACATCACATACCATAACCGGACAGCCTGCTATATCACAAAACAGACGTTGAGGGATCCATCTGTCTGCTTTGCTGACACACTAACGATTAGGTATAAGTTGTTCGCCCTCGTACTAGGGTTTCTTCATAAGCAATACATCCTCCCGTCCGCAATGCGTCTCAACTTCTCAAGAAGAAACTGTTGTGTGACAAAGGAGGGGTAGCTATATGCTAGAATCTCTAATGCTCTAAATGCGAAGATAGTTAAGCTCTATCTCGATAGACGCACTCCAATAATCTATCTCCTGAATTATTCCTAAGCTTAGTGATTACTCATTCCATACGATCAATCATCTCTTCCAATTAGAGCATATGGAATGAGATGCTCCTCAGTAAAAAATACTGTAGTATTTCAGCAGCTAGGCATGATTTGGATATGGGGCAAGATAGGGCACAGCTGTGATGGTCATGCATCTATTAGTGTACGTCTAACTTGTCTAACTGTCTTGTGGGGATGAATAGGAGTACGCCGCGGTCCCTGGGCTAGGGCAGCGCCAACCCAGAAAGGGCTGGCGCGACTCGCCTCATGCAACCGCATCATGGAACGTCGTTGAAGGGGCATGGTACCCAAAGAAGTAACCCAGGTTGAATTGTGTCTGGGTGGGGAACTTTCGGGTTCAGCTCTTTCAGCTTGTCCACACTGGTACAAAAGTCGGGTGCAATATACTTGTACTCATCCCCTGACGCGACAATGTACGCGCCGTTGCCTGATGGGTTCTTGAGGCAATCTCGTTTACGTTCAGTGCACCGTACTTTGATATTGACGCCAGGCCTGAGGTCATCCTTTGGGTTTATGTTGTTCCAATGTCTGACGACTTCGGGTTTCATGCAGAAGTCGTCCGCAACTTTCTGCACAGTGTCGATACCGGTAGTGAAGTACCATCCTTCGCCCTGGTTTTGAGGGTTTCGCTTGCATTTCCGGCGCAATGCGTTTGACATGCCTATAGAGGCTGCTACCAAAATGATAAACTTGAGTCGCATTGTAGATAGTCGTAGTCTTGAGGTCCAACGATAAGAAATGGTATATTGCGAATAGGAAATGATTTGAAGATGTCGAAGATGCCTATAATAGGATGTGGGAGTAAAGAGAGAATTGCTTTAGATTGTTGTTTGAAGAGGGATGATTATACCATAGGTATTTATATGCTGTTAGTGGTGTGCAGCTACTGTAACACATACAGCGCCCAGTCTGTTACCCTAAATTGACGGTGAGATACCGCGACAAGTGGCCCACAATATCAGCTATTGATTCAAGAAGTGGATACATTGCTGACTGCCAAGGCCTGAATTGATGTTAGCTAGACCAAAATATCTTTGCGCCAAGTAGTGATTATGCCAACATCCATCACAACTCGCTTTTCCCCTGCCTCGTAATAACATCAGTCCGTCTTAAGAGCATTAGCTGAACTATACTATAGAAGAGGTACAATAGAACCCCCCTGTTGGAGAATATCACACTGTGCACTCACTATGCAGACTCATATGGCCACCTGTTTACGGAGGTGACTTTCAAAAGTTCTTGCTTGTAACAAGGTAGGCGCCCTGCCTATGAAATGAATACTACGTCATCTCCCCTGCCTGTACCAATTGGCCATGGTCCAAAAGGTACGCACGAGAATACTTAAGCTAAGTAATCCTTGCATAGTATACTATATATATCTTAGCTAAGCTTAGCCTAAGATAATAGTGCTAGACCCTAGCGCTAACCTATAAACCTTGTTTAAATCTAGCCTAGGTATCTAGTAAGCGCTAGCTATTTTAGCCTAGCCTTGTTACACTAAGATAAGTAAGCTACAAGCTCTTTGACTAAGGGCAATATATATCCGGTCTACCCTAATTAGGCTTAGCAAGCCCTAGCACTAACCCTAGAAATCTAGTCTAGCCTAGTCCTAAATAGGCCCTAGTACTAATCCTAGCAGATCTAGTCTAGCCTAGTCCCCTAAGCATAATTTAAGTTAGAGACAAATTCACGCTGCACGTGGATTTAAACCCTTAACCTTTAGATTAGCTTAAGTATTATATAATAAGGTAGGCGCCCTGCCTATAAAATAAATACTACGTTATCTCCCCTACCTATACTAATTAGCTATAGTCTAAAAGGTACGTATAAGAATACTTAAGCTAAGTAATCCTTGCATAGTATAATATATATATCTTAGCTAAGCTTAGCCTAAGATAATAGTGCTAGACCCTAGCGCTAACCCATAAACCTTGTTCAAGTCTAGCCTAGGCATCTCGTAAGCGCTAGCTATTTTAGCCTAGCCTTGTTACATTGCTAGCGTATTTGTTAGCGGTTAATCTATCGTCCCAACTTTCTTAGCACACACACTTATTTTTGAAGCTATAGATAGTACAGAGGTAACTTTCAAAGTTCTTACTAATAGGGGTGTCTATATTACCGCTAGGGTGGTAGATAGGTATAGGTTAGGTTAGGGTTAGGTTAGCTTATGTTAGACCCTGAACCTAACCTAAACCTAACCACAAATTTTTGCACAGGCAATAGACTTAGGTTAGGTTTAGGTTACATAGGCTATAGGCTTAGGGTAGGGTTAGGTTATATAGACCTTAGGCTTAGGTTAGGTCTTACGTAAGTAGGTTAGGGTTAGGGTTAGGTTATATAGGCTATAGGCTTAGGTTAGGTCTAGGGTCTTATATAATCTACTTATAGTATATATATAATAGGCATGTATCTTAGGTATCTATTATAGTGTTATAAACTAGACTTAAGGGAGAATGCAATAAGCGTTAATAATAGTATTTAGTATCTTAAAGGAGAGGTAAGCCCTCTACGCCTTTTTATAGGTGTGTAGCGTGTTTGCTTAGTAGTAGTAGTGTTAGATGTGAAGTGTAACAATAAGGCAGAATCGCTTGCTATGGAAATTTGGATCACTAAGGTTAGGAATAATTTAGGAGATAGATTATTAGATTATATCTACTATAATTAGACTTATATATATAGAGCTTTAGCTACCCTTACTAGTAGGTAAATAATTAGTAAACCTTCCTTACTAGAGCTCCTGCTTTTTATTAGGTACTTAGTAGTAAGCTAGTAGTTAATTAGATAGTAGGTTATATAGGGGTATTTAACTAGAATTAACTAGATTAAGATACTCTATAATCTAGTTAATATCCCTCCTATAATATACCCCCTAGGTATAGGTAGATCTTTTACTATTATAGTTATACTTATAGTTAGTAGGTAGTATAGCTAATTAGAGCGTTATATATCTAAAGGGTTAAATTAGCTTACCCTTTAGATACTAACTAGTGTAAAGGACTTGGGCTTATGCCTAAGCCTAGGTCTAACACAAGACGGACCAAGTCTAACACCACTACTAAGCGAACATACTAGATACCTATAAAAAGGCGTAGAGGGCTTATCTCTCCTTTAAGATACTAAATACTATTATTAACGCTTATTGTATTCCCCCTTAAGGCTAGTCTATAATATTTTAGTATCTTCTTCTAAATATACTATAATAGTAATAAGAGATAGACGCGCTAGATATTTAGAATAACTAGGTGCAACCTAATATAGTAGAAAGGCTAATATAATAGGTCTATAGTTTAATAGAATAATAGGCTTAAGACTCTGCTATAATAGCTATACTATGTTAATAGAATAAGGAAATACGCAATTAGATTCTATCCTAACCCTCCTCTAAGCCCGCTAGGTTTAATAATATACTGCCTCTACCCTCTCCTACCTTATATTACAAACCCTTCCTAGTTAGCTTGCTATATAATAGCACTAAGGCAAACTTCTCCTCCTAGTAAATAACTATAGAGTTTAAACTACGTGTAGATAAGGTCTTTATTAGGGATAAGGAGGCAAGGTTTATATATATTTAGTCCTAGTTATTACCTATAGTCTAGCGCGCTATAGCACTATACTTTAAGGATAGTGCATATAAGCGTTAGGATATAAGCAGGTTTCTTAACTACCTAGTGTTCTATTATAGCAACTATTATAGGTAGAAGCGCGCCTAAGTCGCGTTAGAACACTTATATTAGGGCTAAAATTAGCCTTTTATAGAGTTCTTTATAAATTTTATATAGCTTCTTATATAGTTAGGAGGTTTATACTAGGATAATAAATAGAAGCTTTTATAACTTTAGTAATCTCTTAATAGCTATATACGCTTAGTTTCCCTTAATAGGGGAGTCTCTAGGATAAATTATAATATAGCTATAGAGGAATATAAGATAATTACAGTAGATATTAAAATAGCCTCTCTAGAACTAGGTTTTCTTTAGGCTAGTAAGTCTAAGGAACCCTAGTAGAAGTCTACCTTAGATTAGGATAGTAATACAAATATAGTAGAAGTGGCAGCCTTATTAAGTGTACCTACTAAACTACTAATATTATATCCTAACTAGATCCTATAGGACTTATTTAATATATAGAAGCTAGTAAAGGTCTATACCTAGTATAGATAGGGTAGTTATTTTGTGCGTGCATGTCCTAATACCTTATTACTATAACTAGTAGGTGTTAAGATAGTTGCAGTATTAGCAAGCGGCCCTAATTTAGGAAACTAGCTGCCCCTAACCCTAGGCTAAGTTAGGGGTATAAGGAGGATACTATAACAGAGGAATTATTAATAGTAGAGGCTATTAAGTATCCCCTAGATATTAAGGTAGGGTTAAATAATCCTCCCTTCTTTATTCCCCTCCTCCTAGGTAGAGTAGAAAACGTGCAAGCGATAGTTAATTTAGGGTGCTAGTGTTTTAAAATAGTTAAGGAACATCGCGAACACTATTCCTGAAAGATAG